TAAAGATTATTGAATACTTTTTTCTGAACCCACCCAAGTGCTATCCGTTTTAAACCTATTCTTAAATCAGTATGCACTCGTTTTTACGGGGAAGTTGTTTCGTCCATCTTATGTCAAACAGTCGCTCCTCATTTATTCAGTTGCTATCATGAAGCAGTGGGACTATAATTTTTTATCTTTCCAAAATCTGTAATCATCTCCTCAGGCCTCAACTATCGTTGAATAATGACGATGACATATATGACCAATGAAAATAAACTATAGTCTTCTGATATCTCGAATCAAATGGAGATGAAAATGCAAGTCAACTAATTGAACGCTAACTCAGTGTCCTGAAAGTTTAGCGCTCACTGCGAGACCTGAAATTCCTGAGTTTGATTTATAGTGGGGTCTTGGGTACTTATTGTTAAACTCTTGTACTGCGATGGAGCATCTGTCCAGTCCTCACTTCCTCTTAATGGTTGTTAGTTCTTAATGTAAAACTTTAAAATCCAACAATCGTCACAACCCTAAACCTAGTTAGTTCCATGTACAGATAATTTTTTCCATCATAATATAATATTAGCTTGATAAACTATTAAAATCGGAAACAACTGGGCAGTTTTTTTAAATGTCTTAATGGAACAACCTTTGGTGAGAGTGGTCTATAGGATATGAGTGCATATCACCAATCGAAAGGTCTAAGGTGAAGTAGTTGTTACATATTCCGTAATCAGTCAGCCACAACGTAGAACTTCGTACGTACGTACAGCAGTTCGAGTTGCTATACCACATTAGCACAGAGATGCAGTTGTCGACTCAAATCCCATAGTGGTAGCAGTAGTAAGCGTATAAGCATTATGTGAAAGATTAGGGTTTGAAGATGTTATTGAAGGAGTATAATCCAATGAAATAAATTTGAAAAGAGAAAAAAGATAGAGACATGAGGAATTCAGAAGATTAGAATTTGGCAGAACACAAAGAGTGGATGCACCTTCAACAATTTTGAGCCATGTCATTCAAGGTCTCTAACCATCGATTGCTATCATCTCGCAAATCCCAACCAGGTAATCTACACCTACCAAAATGGCTCAATCCACTTGTCAATGACTTCATGGATTTGTGCCACGTTTTGGTCTGGCCGCCCCTAGCTTTCTTTCAACCGTCTACTACACCATAAAACATTGCACGTCGGATATTCCGTGATAAAGAGTATGTTCAGTTTTATTCTTCATACCTAAGAAAAAGGTTTGTTAGTATACATACTATAGCTCTGAACTTCCTATACAAATTTCACTGTTGCACGAATGTATTCATCACTTAAAGTGGGCATACCTAACTGCTTCGTTTTGTTCTTCAAATAAAAAATCATTAGTTTCAGATGTCAAGAACCAGATGATTTGGTTAAAGTGCAATCTCTTTCATGGGATCCTATTATTAATTGGGTTAATAAACATTATCAAATCAAACCAATCATAACTGATAGTATGACTTCATTGGCTAAACTATCTCCTTTGGATAAAGAGAAATTAACACGCTATTTTAACAGTTATAATATATGGGGTCTTACTGGTAAGCTATCGATGATCGCAATAACTTTTGACTCATGAATTTATTTCTTATATATATATATATATATCATAGTTTATGGTTGTAGCTGTTACCTTGACATTGTGGCCAAGTTTAAACATCATCTCGGGAACACTTTCCAACAACCTCTCATACCCCTCTAACAGCCTTTGAAATTACTACGTTCTAAGTCAAATCCCTTCTTCACTTTACATTTTGTTCTGTTTTCATTGTCGACCTTCATCTGTCTCCGACTTCTTTCATATGCAACACCAGTGCTGATAATCATCATGATTACTGGTGTTCAGAGAATTAGTTCTTTGATAATGGTAGTTGTTGAAAAAATCTTGGTGTTCATGGAAAGAACAGTTGTTTGTTATGTCCTTTTGACCTGTTAATTATCACATGGCTAAATTGCCAATTAGATAACCGACTTATTGGTCAGATCAATGACGCATAAACCAGTACGAGCAGCTTAGAGTAAACTCTGAATTGGTCCTCCAAAATATTAGTTCTCGCCTAACCCAGCTAGCTCAGTTCAGAACACCAATACTAGCCTACGCTATATCAGTCATGTATTTCAGACGTACACAGCTTAGATACAAGCAGATCAGACCTCATCACACCATAAAATAGGAAGTAACAATTATACAATGAAGATTCACATCCTCCTACCAATCCTGCATCTTTGGTACCATTCTGTGTCTAACCTCAGGATTGCTCACTCAGTCATTCTGCAATTGGTGTGCAATCATTAAAAAACACTTATAATCAAGTACCTAGAGTCTACCTATATCTTCTACTTCGACAGAAAATGTTTTAAACCATAAAATATAACAGAACATATTGCTGTGCCGAATACTCCCCTTCTGGCTGGGAAACAAACATCTCGCCTATGCTACAAGTAGTACTATTTGACATAGCCAACCAAGATTTCTGAACTTGTGTAACATTTGGAATGAAGTGTCATTGGATAACTGATTTGCCGATGAAATAGAGATATCTGTTGATTTCAAACATATCCAGAGCTTTAACATTATATGAACACAGTGATGCTCATATATTCTTCACTCAAAATCAGTCATTTCTCAAATGTATATGACGGAATTTCATCTGCTGGGATCACCGGGTAAGTAATAGTGATGTTGGACACAGGGTATTAAAGAACGATGGTAAATCAGTTGATGAGGTCATGAATCTTCATCGACTGAGATGGTTAGGCCACGTGTCACGTATGCCTGAACACCGATTACCACGACGCGCTATGCTGACTAGTGTAGGAGATAGTTGAAAAAGAGTTAGGGGCGGCCAAACCAAAACGTGGCATCAGAGTATGAAGTCACTAACTTCCAGTCTGAGCTATGTTGGTAGATGCAGACTACTTGGTTGGGGTCCGCGTGACTATCGTAACCAATGGTTGAAGTCTCCAGGTGACATAGCTCGGAATCGATCACAATGGCGTAGGTGTATACACTCTTTATCTTCCTTTAAACCTTGATATTAAAATTGCTTCATAACTTTCTTCCTATACTATATCCTTATATGCAACCTATCTTTTATATACTACCACCACTAAATTATTTCTATGAACTCGGTGTTAATCTTGTTGTGCTAACGAGGTATGGCAAGTTGGACCGATGCATATATGTGCCTGGTCCTACGTTGTAACTGACTGAATTTCACTTTCTCAGTGATGGAGTAAGTTTTTTTATTTATGTCAATAAACTTGGTCACATATTGATGCATTAAAAGTAGATTAACTCTACGTAAACAAAAGTAAGCCTGTGTTTTCAAAGATTCTTTTTGCTTGTTACGTAATCGGATTTCTTTCTTTGTATGTGTTTGTATCGTCTTAAAAATAGGTATAAAATCATGTGTTGAAAACTTGAAATCAGTTTATCTTACATTAGCTATGCTGGATGGGTATTGTTCAGTTGCAAAAGCTGTTGAATTAAGTCAAATAGAAATGTTATTTCAGGTTAGTTTTAATTATTTTACATCACTGTAAAGTTTCCGTATTCAAATATCTAACTATATATATATATTAGTGATGTCAACCAAATTTTTCAAACTTCCTGATTGCGGTTATCACGTAAACCCCAACCAGGTAGTCTGCATCTACTTACATGGCCCTGACATATAGTCAGTGACTTCATGGAATGATGCCAAGTCTTGGTTTGGGCGCCACTTGCTTTTTTAAAGTCTACTCCTATATGAAAAATTGCACGCCGAGATAGGCGGTGGTTCGTCATGTGCAACACACGTCCCAACTATCTCGGTTAATGACGATTCATAATTTTATCAGCCGGTTGGCTACCTATGCCTATCAATATTCCTTACTAGATGGTCCCATGAAATGCGGACAACCCTTCGAGAACATCTATGATTAAAAACCGGGTGGCCTATCCATGTTTTCTGTCTTCGAATTCTGTTTCACAGTCATAAAGCAGAACAGGTCAAACTGCTGCGCAATACATATGTCGTTTGATCGGTAGACAAACATTCAGTTTACGCCACAAGTTGGTAGGGGTAACTGCGCTTTCTAAACCCGTGCCAAGATTTCGTCAGATATTGTTATAAATGTGTTTTTTGCTATATAAACGACCCAGCTATTCCTATTGCTTAGTATTCTTATACGATGACACTCGACAAGACCCCAAAATCAGAACACGTTGAACAGGAATGAAATTGTATTCAAAATAATAATAAGTGAACAACAATCACTGGTTTAAATAACGTTCATATTATTTATAGTATATACATAAGAAGCTTCTAGATTTTTCTCCAATAATATGCCCGGGCTGACTGGTCTAGAATTAGCCAATCAGCGCGCAGCAACACCATCATGCATGAAACATGCATACATGAAATATCCAATCTATGTCCCACTAACAGACATCAACCCACCAGGGCATAGCACGTAGTGGTAATCGGTGTTCAGGCATACGTAACACGTGGCCCAACCATCTCAGTCGATGAAGATTCATCACCTCATCAACTGACTTAACATCATTCCCTAATACCCTGTGTCCAACATCACTATTACTTACCCGGTGATCCCAGCAATATTTCTAAGGCATCTATGGTCAAATACTAGTAACTTCCGAGTATCTTCTACCTTTAATGGCCATGTTTCACAGCCGTAAAGTTTTTGACAACTGGTTTGTATTTCATCAACGCTCATATTAAGAAATCTTTGGCCAATAATCTTGTACGCTTACAGCTTGTACATGTATACCAAGTTATTTTATTCATCTTTAAGTGTGTACCCTTATACTCGAATTATTTTTGAATACTAATGATTGCATTTTTATTTATATTAGGTTAATCGATGGGGAGATGTCCCTTCTTATCATGATGTTGAAAATGCTGATCTTAATGCACGTGTTTCCGCTGCTCTCTTTTTAGCTTTACTCAGTCATCATCAACGTGATATAAAAGTAAAAACAAGTATAAGATGAATCTTATATATAAATATTCATTGAGTTTTTGAGAAGAATAAAGAAAATGAAACATAATTACAATTATCATTAACTTTTTTTTATACACACACAATTAAGGGTGGATAAATACTGGGGACGATTTTGTTAGTAACAGTGATTTTTTGCTTGACATATGGTAATACTATACCTAGCGTTCATTCTCCCCTGAAACTGCTTCATTTAATGCTTCTATTTGTTTATTAAGTAATGCTCTACGATCAACAAAACCAAATCTTCCTTTTCCAAAAGAATTTGGTCCGCAAGATGTAGGAGTGTATCTAGAAATTAAATAATTATGAATAAGGATTAATTCACTATAGCATTGGAATCTAATAAAGTTTGTTTTGTCGTATGAATATTTATCAAGAGTTTTTTAAGTTATTCTAATTAAGTGTAATCCTACATTTCGATTCCTGTCAGTCAGTAATGTCATCAATACGATCGTGGGTGCTTTATGTACAATTAGACCTATAATTTCTGTACTGTAAAATTGTTTCATTTCAGTTAGTGTAAGTGAGATTGTGTTAAATAAGTGGTGATTGTTAGCATAAGTGGATCGATCGTGAAGAAAAACAAATAAGATAAATATCAACGTGTAAAATTTAAACTCAACATTCCCACTGTAAATAGATTCAAGGTGAACTACATTATCTAGTCTCCAAAAGACTTAGCATTTCACATCACCTTTAGCTAGATGCAGTCTTCTGTATGCTTGAAACCGATTTGCTACCCAGTTTTTGACCACTGAGGTCAGTAACATTGTTCATAGTAACTTTAAGGAGTTTGAAAAATTTTTAAGATGCAACGAGGGAATATTTGCCGGTGAGACTAAAGAACATGGACGAGCAAACCAGAAGCTTTCGCGGATTTTCAAGGTCACGGCGGTAATTTCGGAACATGATGCTTACGTACGATCGCTTTACAGCGGATTTTCGAGACGTGATAATTGAGCGACTACAAGAAAAGGGATTATTAACAAGCTCCTATACTTGTGACTGCGGTAGTCAAATGACCATTGTACGGTGTGCAGACTATCTTCATGGTATTATCTTTCGATGTCCTTCATGTTGGAAGAAGAACTCAGCTCGAACAGGGACCTTTTTTGCTCGGTCAAAATTAAGGTTGAGACATATTATGCTCCTTGTTGCGAATTGGATAATAAACGCACCGGTAACACTAGCTGCCACCTTTGCCGATGTAAGTGAAGTTTCGGCAGTTCAATGGTACGAGTTTTGCCGAGATATTTGTGCAACAAAACTGACAAGCGTACAGCAATTGTATGGAGGAGTGGGGAACATTGTTGAAATAGACGAAACAGTTGTAAGGAAACGCAAATACAACCGTGGCCGTTGTATTAAAGAAGGTTGGGTAAGTACCTCTTCCATAAATATACCTCACAGGTCCTTGGAATATATGATAGATTACAAAAAGGACACTTCCAAAGAGTCAGGAACCGGTAGGCACCAACAATCATACCGATTATACAGCAATATGTGCTGCCGGGCACTACTGTTTATACAGATGATTGGAGAGCGTACAGGTGTCTAGGTAGACTGGGATATGTGCATGAAGTCGTTATACATAAGCGCCATTTCGTTGACCCTACTACTGTGGTGCACACTAACAACATAGAAGCTATGTGGTCAAGACTGAAAGAGTTTTTGAGACCCTATCATGGCTCCAGAGGCAGACTACTGTGGAGCCATATGGATGAATTCATTTACCGCATGCAATATGATTTTAGAACTTCTGAACCTATATCCAACCTTGATAAGTTTTTAACTCATGTAAGAGAACAGTATCCACTTTAATTCTTTGGTTTTGTATAATAAATTTTTACTATACACTAACTGCCTTCTGATTGGCTAATATTTCTCAAGGTCATTTAAGATTCGTTCAAAGGTCGTCCATGTTCTTTAGTCTCGCCAAGGCCATTCCAAGTACTTTATCGATAAACCGAACTTTGGACTGTCCCGTCTCCCCTACTTTTTATAGCAATATCCAGAAAGTGGAACATGTCATTCTGTTCATGTTCCATAGTAAACTGTATACTAGAATGAGCATTATGGAAAAGTTCCAACAGGTGGATTGCATGCTGGTTGTTGTTGCAGACAATCAGTTGCTAGAAAGCATTGATTAAAACACTATTATATAGAGTAGAAAGGATATGTACCACTGACAAACTGGAAGAATTGACCATAAGGTTTGATGCACAGTCATTGTTTTCCATCATTTTCAGTGGCTATTAAGCGATTTACTTGGTCGACTAAGAAACAGGAGCAACTCGTGAGTCAGTTAACTTAATTATCTGCTTTTCGCTCTATTGCTCGAGAGTTACAACCTAGTTTCATAAAATCAATATAATGACTACATGCGAAAACAAAAAGTTATCACAGGTCCATAATTTATTTTTATAAACTGGGGCAATAGATCATTCAAATCGGAAATTTGTATTGACTCGGTAGCTTATTTCTAGACAGAAGCCAACAATAAATATGAATGATTTACCAACAGCTAGTTTCGGACTACCATTATTAATACATTCTGTTTAGCACTGGTTAATAATGAGGAACTACTCAAAATTATTTTAGGTTTGAAACGAATAAATTCGATAGCATAGAATCTGAGGAGGAATGTAATTATGAGGCAAATTGTGATGAAATCTATTTCTCTATCATACTACAAAATTTGACCTTCAAAAACAAGCTTAGTATTGTCGATTGGGAAAATATCAAGGACCAAATCGGAAACCACATTTAGTGCTTAATCGTTCGCGTGAAATTATTAGCCTTTACCACTCATTATTGGTTTTTTTTAACCTGAATAAATATTTGAAGAATTTGACAACGAAGTAGTTAGGAGACCCTCATTATATTGAGGTTGTAATAATGTAGAACAGCCAACCATTAAGTGTGTCAGGGAATGACTAAATATGAACATATTAGCCACAGACTAAAAAGCTTAGTATAAACCAGTACTTATTAGCGTGTCTATACATACTGGATACTTGATAGGAAGATTAAGAAAGGTAATGAATTAGCTTAAGATTAGCGTTAGTGAAACTAGAAAGAAGAGAGCGGTCATATGCTGTAAGAATGCCTATTAGCTTTAGGTTAGCATAGTGACCAACTATATGATAACGTTGGGTGAAAAGTGACTTAATTAGCTATGTAAATTTTGGGGGTTTCAAGTGGTTTATTGAGTACATATATTTATATATATACGTCTATGAATAAAAACGTCCATAAATACCTTCCTAAATTTCGCATTCGTATTCTGGCTTCCGTTGGAATTTCCTCTTCCTCACTCTGTAGACGTGTATACTTTGAGATCTAAGACACAACTCACTTCCTCATCTGAGTTGAAGACTTCACGAACCTTGCTGTCTACCTTTTTAGGGATTTCGGGTGTAGGATCCTTTAGATGTAATCTACACGACATTATTAACAATATCCAACCTGTGCGGGTACATTTAATTTGATAGGACTTATAGTCGCAGGACGTCGAGAACCCTCACTTGATTTTTCAATTACTTTAACTGGTACCTGATCACTAACAGATTCATCAGGCTTTCTTTTCAATGTTTTAGGTCCTATTAAAACTTATGCACAAAAGATGCCGTATTTACCCGAACTCATACGAATAAATATAAAACGTAGCGTACTAACTGAAAATTGAGGGTTGATCTGATGTCCAATACCTTTGTTGCTACCTTGCAGCTTCGAGTAAATCCTCATCATGCTTTTCCCCAGTATAAAGCAATACTTATATACATGCATAGATATGTCTGATTCGACATATCATAAAACTGCATTGTTTGTTCGAATCCTAGGCCCCTTACATGTGAGGAGTGAAAGGCGTCTTCGAATTCATTTCCAACGTGGAACATATTCACCTAAATAGGAAATGCATCATTTTTAGATGTTGCATGGAAGGGTTATTCCTGTATAACCAACCTGCTTACTGCGGTTGATAGATAGACAAATATACTTGATCGTAAGGGGGAGGTTGACATCATTTGCCTTGATTGTTCAAAAGCTTTTGTTAGGGTCAACCATATATGTCCTATCAATGAGCTCAAACGATTAAATATCGAACCACCTCACTTTGACTGACTCACTTCATATCCAAAAAATCGACATTTTAAGGTCAGGGTTAACTTCACTTTCCCTCAGGCTATAAAATATCCTAGTAGGATCCCCTAGGGTTCAGTAATAGGAACTATTCTTTTCTTGATTTATGTAAACGATCTTCCACAGAATGTATCGTCAGATTTATTACTTTTTGCTGACGTTGTGAAACTTTGGAGAAAAATATGCAACCAAGAGTATATGCTGGCACTTCAGGAGGATCTGCCTCGACTTCAAAGTTTGGCAGACGACAACGGACCTACCTTCAACACTTTAAAGTGTAAAGTATTTATTTTGAAGCATGTTGCAAGCTACAGTTACAACTTAGGAAACTCGTCCCTAGAAGTATCCCAAGTCGAAAAAGGTTTAGGTGTTGGTACCCTGCGATTTGAATTCCTACGCTAACTGTTACAAAAATGCCTTTCAAGCAAACTTATCACTGGTTACATTGAAGCTCATTTTTGGCCAGTTCGACGGGAGAACTTTTCATCAAATCTTCAACAGCTTTATTCAACTCTATTTAGAGTACGAAGACATAGTATTTCCTCCCTCACTCCAAGAGGATAAGGATACTCTAGAGCGTATCAGACAGCGAGCCATGAAGTCATTCCGAGGACTCAAATTCAAGTCCTCTGAAGTGTGTCTTCGATAACTTGACCCTTACACAGTGAAGTACAGAAGTCTTAGAATTGACCGTCTAGTGACTTGTAGGATCCTAAGCACTTCTGGGCAACTCCTTCAACATATGCTTCAGCTTATTTCCAACACAAACCTTGGGAGTAACGCCCAAAAACTGGAGACATTACACGACAGACTGGATGGCAGGTCAACGTTCTACACCTTAGAAATAGTCAAATGCTGGGATTCGCTATCGGCTGATATGGTCCATGAGACTTCACACGAGTCTTTCATGTGAAAACTTGACATAATTTTAAGGCTTAAGGACAGATCGCACCATAATTTACAAGTTTTTTTCGCTTTTGTTGCTCAATAGGTTCTAGGTTATTACTTGGAGGCGTCGATGACCCACTGCTACTAGATACAGAAGCTCTTTAGGCAATAGCTTGTTCAGTTTCGTCTATAACCATTCGAAGCATTTATTTTGAAGATACGACTAGTATTCTGATTTCACAACCTGCTACCAGTAGCACCTATATGCGAAGCTTTCCCCAGACCAATGAAAATCAGAAGTCAGACGAGAAGAGGTTGGAAAGATATATTTGATACGTTGTCAATATATCGCGAATCGTTTATACTAGGCTGGCTAGTGAACGTAGGAGCAGTGTCCCACGCTAGGTCGAAACGTGATCTGGTACGGATTCATGACCGATTGCCTTCAGTTAAACAAGTCCACTTAAACAACGTGGTCAGCATCCAATGTCGAACACTTAGAAGGCTATTGATTTTGGGGAATTATTTACAGCAACAGATCACTCGCCCTCCAGTGAGGCAGTGATGACCCTAAGACGTGACCAGCCAGATGTTTAAACCCAACGAGTTTGTCGTTGGTAAACACTTTTCTGATAGCTTGCTTCGTTTAGCAGCGTCTGGTCATCTTTCCTTACATTAAGCGACCATAATGTACAACATAGCAATAAATAAATAAATTACTATGAAAATTTCGGTTCCTTGCGAAACTTCGTCGTTCTTTTTCAGCCGTCCTTGAAAAGAGAAAAAATAGAATGTATAAGTGCATGTCTAAAATACACTCGTACTTGCGTAAGGACACAAGATGAGCGGGAAAAAAACTAATGCACTTGCGACAGCGTAAAAGCGATTGGAAAAAATTGGTTTTTTGAAATAAATATATAAAACTGAGCATATTAAAATAATTCTTTTTTTCATAATAAATAATACAAAGGGAATTCGAGATAAAGTTTATGTCCTACGTGCAATAGTCGTTTAGATGTTCTGCAAATCTTACTCTTCTTTCAAAACGCGTTGTCTTGAGGTTACCTTTCGACGTTGACGATTTATCAAGGTGTGTGTCGGCTGTCGTATGGGGTACTACAAGTGTAGGAGCCGTATCGTTCGATTGTACTGAAGGAAAGTCGACGTAGATAGGGTTTCCTTCTAAGTACGCTGCTTTGAGTCGATCGATACTGATGCTATCGTTCGTACCGTTCTAATCGACTACATAGTACTTAGGTTCACGTTGAAGAACTTTGAAGGGTCCTTCGTATGCTGATTCATGAGGTCGTCGATGTGAGTCTTGACGAACGAAAACGTGTGTACTATGTCGTAAGTCAGGTTGAACGAAAACATCAGTTGATTGAAGTCGAGTGTGAGTAGGTTTAACTGAACACATAGCGTTTGTAAGCCTACTCGTGTAAGAGTTTAGATCCATGTTCAATGAAGAAGCCGATGGATCTACGAATTCTCCTGGGAGTCGGAGTGTCGTTCCGTAAACGAGTTGAAATGCAGTGTATCCAATGTCAGCTTTCACTGCATTGCGGATACCTAGCAAGACGAGTGGAAGAGCGTCTGTCCACTGTGAAACGTTTGTAGCTGATAGTGAAGCTTTAAGTTGTCGATGAAAACGTTCTACCAACCCGTTTGCTTGTGGGTGGTAGGCGGTCGTTCGTAAGCGAGTGATTCCTAATAGTGAGGTCAGACAACGGAAAAGTCCAGATTCGAACTGGCGTCCGCGGTCTGTAGTGATCGTGGAAGGGCAGCCGAAATTTGCAGTCATTCGACGAAAGCGCGGGCCACTGTTTCATCAGTAATGTCCTTAATAGGTACTGCTTCTGGCCATCGAGTAAAACGGTCTACGCATGTTAAGAGATATGAGTATCCGTTTGAATCGGGTAACGGTACTACCAAATCTAGATGAACGTGGTCGAAACGAGCATCAGGGGTTTTGAAAAAGCGTAATGGACATTGGTTGTGTCTTATTACCTTAGATTTCTGACAGCTTACACAGGAGCGTGCCCACTCCTCACGTCCCTATTAATACCAGGCCAGCAAAAACGTTCGGCTATAAGTTTGACTGTTGCACGAGCACCTGGATGAGAAAGATTGTGCAACGTATTGAAGACGTTGCGGCGATAACGTTTTGGTACAATTGGACGATCCCTACCTGTAGATGTGTCACAGAGTAATGTTTCCTCACCTGTTCCCATATGCCTAATACTTAGTTTAAGAGTTGTAGAGGATAACTCATGCTGAGGATCAATGTCTTCTTTTTGAAGCTGAGCGAGTTTAAGAAGGTTGATTCCTTGGAAACTGTTCAAGGAACTTATTCGAGACAAGGCGTCTGCGACTACGTTGTTAGCTCCAGAAATGTGTTGTATGTCTGAAGTAAACTGCAAAATGTTGTCGAGACTCTCTTGGTGAGTACTTGTCTGAAGATGAACTTAAAGAGAAAGTAAGAGGTTTGTGATCGGTAAAAAGTGTGAATTCTCTTCCTTCGATGGAATGTTGAAAATGCCGTACAGCACAATACATATCTAGGAGCTCCCTACCGAAAGTGCTGTACCTAGATTCCGCGTCTAGCAACCGTCTCGAGAAAAATCCTGAAGGTTGCCAAGTGTGGTTACCCCATTATTGTAAGACTGCTCCGATTGCTGAGTCGGATGCGTCTACGGCGATACTAATAGGCGCTTGAGTGTCCTGATGTGCAAGCAGTGTGGCCTGAGCGATATGTCCTTTATTGTGGAGAATGCTTTTCGGGCTGTGTCGTCTAAACTAATTGATTTCACATTTCCACGAAGTTTGTCGGTTAACGGTTTCATAAGAGATGCGCATTTACGTATGAACCGTCTATAGAAACTTACCAGGCCGTTGAAAGTTCGTAACTGCTTGATCGTGGTCGGTTCTGAGTAATCCAAAATAGCCGCCACTTTGCTTCCAAGGGGTTGGATGCCTTGAGCATCAATGGTGTGTCCTAAGAGGTCTAAAGAGGTTGTTCCGATTTTCATTTCTGAGTGTTGACAGTAATGCCATGTCTTTGGAGTCGATCAAAAACAATGTCCAGATGCTGGAGATGTGATTCTCTGTCCGGACTTGCTATGAGGCAGTCATCAACATACGCATGTACGAAGTTGAAACCTCGGAAGACGTCGTCTATAAACCTTTGGAAGGTTTGAGCCGCATTTCTTAAGCCAAAAGGCATTCGCAAGAATTCGTAAAAACCGAAAGGAGTGATGATGGTGGTTTTTGGAATGTCGTCGGTTGCCATAGGTATTTGGTTGTAAGCCTTAACTAAGTCGATTTTCGAAAAGACAGTTGTACCTTCCAAGGTAGCTGTCAAATCGTGAATGTGAGGCAGCGGGTAACGATCGTAAATGGTATTGGCATTCAGACGCCGATAATCACCAGTTGGACGCCAATCTTTGCTGTCTTTTTGGGAACCGTGTGCAATGGAGATGACCATGGACTATTTGACTGTGGAATGATTCCCAAGTCAATCATGTGGTCGAATTCATTTTTAGCTAACCTAAGCTTTTTGGGAGCTAGTCGTCGTGCTTTTGAGAATACAGGTGGTCCTGTAGTCGAGATGTGATGTGTAACATTGCTGGTTACACAAGGCAATTTCGGTTGCGGTTGATATATCCCGGAGTATTTGTCGAGTAATGATTGATATAGGAGGTACTTAATTGAGGAGGTGCTTAATTGTGGCTGGGGATAACCTGCAACCAGAAAAAGGAGTTACGCAAACAGATAACTTAGTGTTACCGTCTATTAACCTTC